GCATGAGCCAACTGATACTACTGAATGTATTATACATATATTTGAATATTATTTGCATAATAACTACTTTCTCTAAATATAGGAATATTTAATATTTCATAAATGTAAAAAAACACATCGAAAAATTCGATTTTTCATTGTTTACTTTTTAATTAAGATCGCTATGCAAAAAAATCTAAAAAAAAATAACAATTATGCTTACGGCATTTTATTACAGAATTAATGTAGAACCAATGTCTAACGAACTTCACTTTAAAACATGCATTTTTTTTTTAAATATTTGGCAATTTTCAATTTTTTGACCCTATTTGCTCTCTACGAAAAATCTGAAAAAATCCACATTAATAATCATAACGAGGTACATGCTATTTGGGTAAAGATATGAATGTGAATCAACCGCTTCGTTCCGAAATCAACATTTTAAATCTTCCGGATTTTTTAAAAAATCGATTTTGCAACTAAAAATTCCGTAAACATTCAGAGTTTTGTGCCTCACTACATAGAACATTTATGAATTTTTTCATAATTTGGCGTTGAATAGATAAAAGAAATAGCGGACACCAGAAATATAGAACAGAAGACGCGGTGAACGAAAGAAATAGCGCAATCCATTAATCCGATTTCACCCTATGGTGGAGAGGTAAGGACTCGAAAATTGCCTGAAGGAGTTTTCAATCAGTGACAAATCGACTTCAGACACATACTTTTCTCTGTTACAGTCAGATGTAGTTCACTAGCTGACCGTTTCGTTTAGAGTCCGCATATTGTACCACCACAGCATTTTCTACAGAGTCGGCAAGTCAGTTCCTCAGACAGAAACAAGCATTGCATGTAATGTCTGGTAGGTATGAATACTTTCTTCGCTTATTGTAACATATCAGGTAAAAACCATACCAAAGACTATTCAAAGTAGAACATCTGAATGATATTAATTAATGTTATGTTATTAATTTAATAGAATTAAAAATACTATTGCGACTCCCTTCCCTACAACAGATTGTGAGCAGAGTCTAATGAATAAGGTAGATGTCCTAGTTTCCGTACCAGTCCCAATTACCGTGTTCCTTGAAAAGTTTTATATATAAATTGATGATCTACATATATTTTTTTTTATGTTTACCAATCTATACATAAAACTTCTTTTTCTGTACGTTTCTAATCCGGGGCAATGTTCTATTTTATATTGTTAGTATACACAGTCATTGGAGAACATATAAGCATACAATATATAGTTATACATTTTCTTTATTTTCTAACAAATTATAAAGTACAGAGAAACTCTGCAATCGTAAAATAAATCAGGGGTTAAATTAATTCCATTTATTTCTAAGATCATTCTTGCATTAGAATTCATAGATTAAGCGAACATTCCAATAAGTACATTCTTTAATAAAATGCTATAAATAACAACAAAAGAGTTGTACAAAATGTACAAGCATGCCGCTATTTTTGCATGATAACATTTCTAATCTAAAATGAGAATATATACCTGCATTTACACCATGTATTTAATCTGCATTTACGTTATTTATACAGCATAAGCGCAGCCGATCCCTCACCTTACTTCTTCTGGCCTCGGTCGAAGCATCGGGCAGCTTGAAGGTGCCATGCTGCCCGATTTTGTCGGTCTGCGCTCGGAATTTCAAATGTATCGGACTGTTCGACAATGTCGGACTGCCCGAGCGTTCGCCCGACTCGACTCGACTTGGACTTGATCACTTGGACGTCTGACACATAAAGCCTCATCTCTACTTGCTTGACTTTTGCCAATTGGGCATGCCGCGCGGCATTGATTGGCTTGGCTTTTGGTTTGAATCGATACTGAACGGCACGAAGGGCCAAACATCGGGGGTCCCGTACAAATAATCCTTTCATGTTGTCCCCATGCATATCTGGCAATCATACTCGTACAGAAGGACACTTTGACCAGGACGGTTCGACATCTTTTATGTATCATACAGCTTGGATACACCCCTTTGATTCAATTACGTTTCGTCGAAGCTCTACCGTTTGCGATTTTAATAAATTCTTATTCAGTTTAAAATTCGTTATGCAATTATTTTGTTTAATTTAGACTAACAGAATTTCTCCGATCCTTTCGAGTTACGAAAGTCTAGAATAACTTTTGAAGTGACAAACGGATGCAAATGAATTTTCGAGTGATTATAGTATAGTAAATAATTTTGATTGACAGAAGATGTGTTATTTTACAACTTATTTTGCAATTAGTTTTAACAAATGCGGTTTTTTTATGGCTGGCTGTTGTGTCGTGGGACACGATCAACAGAAGAACACCTTCTGTGATCATAAATCTTGGTGCGACAGACTGTAACCTGCGTATTTGCAATGGATGATAAAAAACTATTAATCAGAACTTGCCAATGAAAAGACGACGGTACTGCTATGAAAGTGTATCTATATTATGAAATAAAACAGTTCTAAACAATCATTGTTTTGATCTTTTTCACAGGCCTTTCTTCAGCATCCACAACATTGTATACCCTGATTCTGGAGTACTACTGATAACTCGATAACCCGTCCTTGCCAGGCAGTTTATGACCTCAAATGATGATGAACCTGAAAAATTTTCATTTTAAAAATGAAAATAAGAAAAGAATTTTTTGATAAGTTAATGAAAGTATATGTCATTATACATACGTACAATGTTTGTTCCCTATAAGAATAGCTATGATTACGGCACAAATGCATCATGATTTATCACATAATAATCTTATATATAAATTGTAGCTTGCACGTATTGGAAGGCAAACAATTAACAGCGAGAAGTAAATGTGTCCAGACACTTTTTAACCCCTTAATGCACAATTTTAAAAAAAAAACCGACCAAAAAAGTCAATTTTTTTTATCTAAGAAAATATACATATTTGGACCTTAATTTCAATAAATATGTAAAAGAAATGCAAAAATTACTAAAAATTCAATAAAAATAGTGGATAAATAATTATAGTGAATATTGAATCGCATTGCAGATCGAATTTTGTACCCATCGTACTGTTTTTCAATTACCAGTTACTATTTTGAAGGGGAAGGAGGAGACGAAAAAAAAACTGAAAAATATTTAATTTTACCTAAATTTGTAATAATATAATAATAATATTTATTAGCTGAAAAATATATAATAAACTAAAACTATTCAAAATTTTCTTTTGTATGGTAAATTTCAAAACAAGGTGCAGCACATAGCCCAACATTCCTTATTTCAACATTAGAAAACATACCTTTTATACACTAAAAATCCAATTTACTCT